ATGGCTCTAATTCCTTCTGCCAGTCAGAGCCAGAGTACCAGTCAGGGTGCCAGCAGAGAGCCAGAGTACCAGATCAGGGTGCCAGTCAGAGAGCCAGAGTACCAGTCAGGGCAGTCAGAGAGCCAGAGTACCAGTCAGGGTGCCAGTCAGAGAGCCAGAGTACCAGTCAGGGTGCCAGTCAGAGAGGCAGAGTACCAGTCAGGGTGCCAGTCAGAGAGCCAGAGTACCAGTCAGGGTGCCAGTCAGAGAGCCAGAGTACCAGTCAGGGGTGCCAGTCAGAGAGCCAGAGTACCAGTCAGGGTGCCAGTCAGAGAGCCAGAGTACCAGTCAGGGTGCGAGTCAGAGAGCCAGAGTACCAGCAGGGTGCCAGTCAGAGAGCCAGAGTACCAGTCAGGGTGCCAGTCAGAGAGCCAGAGTACCAGTCAGGGTGCCAGTCAGAGAGCCAGAGTACCAGTCAGGGTGCCAACAGAGCCAGAGTACCAGTCAGGGTGCCAGTCAGAGAGCCAGAGTACCAGTCAGGTGCCAGTCAGAGAGCCAGAGTACCAGTCAGGGTGCCAGTCAGAGAGCCAGAGTACCAGTCAGGGTGCCAGTCAGGAGCCAGAGTACCAGTCAGGTGCCAGTCAGAGAGCCAGAGTACCAGTCAGGGTGCCAGTCAGAGAGCCAGAGTACCAGTCAGGTGCCAGTCAGAGAGCCAGAGTACAGTCAGGGAAGCAGCAAACAAAAGAGTACCAGTCAGGGTGCCAGTCAGAGAGCCAGAGTACCAGTCAGGGTGCCACAGAGAGCCAGAGGACCCAGTCAGGGGTGCCAGTCAGCCAGAGTACCAGTCAGGGTGCCAGTCAGAGAGCCAGAGTACCAGTCAGGGTGCCAGTCAGAGAGCCAGAGTACCAGCCAGGGTGCCACAGAGAGCCAGAGTACCAGTCAGGGTGCCAGTCAGAGAGCCCAGAGAGTACCAGTCAGGGTGCCAGTCAGAGAGCCAGAGTACCAGTCAGGTGCCAGTCAGAGAGCCAGAGTACCAGTCAGGGTGCCAGTCAGCCAGAGTACCAGTCAGGGTGCCAGTCAGAGAGCCAGAGTACCAGTCAGGGTGCCAGTCAGAGAGCCAGAGTACCAGTCAGGGTGCCAGTCAGGAGAGCCAGAGTACCAGTCAGGGTGCCAGTCAGAGAGCCAGAGTACCGCCAGTCAGGTGCCAGTCAGAGAGCCAGAGTACCAGTCAGGGTGCCAGCCGAGAGCCAGAGTACCAGCCGGGTGCCAGTCAGAGAGCCAGAGTACCAGTCAGGGTGCCAGTCAGAGAGCCAGAGTACCAGTCAGGGGTGCCAGAGTACCAGTCAGGTGCCAGTCAGAGAGCCAGAGTACCAGTCAGGTGCCAGTCAGAGAGCCAGAGTACCAGCCAGGGTGCCAGCAGAGAGCCAGAGTACCAGTCAGGGTGCCAGTCAGAGAGCCACATTGTTGTTGAGGGTCAGTAATTGTCTCACAACAACCAATTATAACCCCAACAAGGAAGACCCCACCCTCAACAAGTGAAACAAACACGATAACAACACACAATAATAATAATAATAATAACAATAACAATAACAATAATAATAATAATAATAATAATAATAATAATAATAATAATAACAATAATAATAACAATAATAATAATAATAATAATAATAATAAAATAATAATAATAATAATAATAATAATAATAATAATAATAATAATAATAATAATAATAATAATAATAATAATACCAATAACAATAATGTAACTGAAGGTAATGAGGGTAATTAATCTGTCAAATAATTACGTATGTAAGTCCTTGACCAAGTGACCTTTTGTTGTTCTGTAAATCTCATCTGTGTGTGTGTGTGTGTGTGTGTGTGTGTGGTAGCGTCCATGTAAACAAAGCAACGTGGAGATGTGCCAGTCATGGTATTTGAGGTTATGTTATCTACATCAGTATAGGAAGAGGAGGAGGAGGAGGAGGAGGAACACGAGGAGGAGGAGAACACGAGGAGGAGGAACACGAGGAGGAGGAGGAGAAGAGAACACGAGGAGGAGGAGGAGGAACACGAGGAGGAGGAGGAGAGGAGGAAACGAGGAGGAGGAGGAGGAAGAGGAACACGAGGAGGAGGAGGAGGAACACGAGGAGGAGGAGGAGGAAGAGGAACACGAGGAGGAGGAGGCGGATATAGCCGCATCTCCTCCTATTGCTTCTCTCCTCTTCTTCGCCACATAAGAACATAAGACTGGAGGAAACAGTAACTATTGGCCCATACTAGGCAGGGGGCCCCGTTTACACCCAACCCCTATCGCTCATATATCCATCCAACCTTTGTGTGAAGCTATCCAGCGTGTTAGAGTTAATGATGATGTTTGATAACTTGTTCCACCATCCACTACTCTATTGCCAAACCAGTGTTTACCTATCTCGAGCCTAAATCTAAATTTGTCTAATTTAAAACCATTGTTACGAGTTCGCTCCTGGTTGGATGGTTTGAGTACCTTTTAATGTCCCCTTTGTTCAGCCCTGACTTCCATTTATACACCTCTATCATATCGCCCTCACTCTACGTCTGAGGAGTGCAGCAAATTAAGATGCTTTAACCTGTCTCTGTACTCAAGGTTCCTAATGCCTGGATTAGTCTTGTTATTTCACCACGGTACAAGGTGGAGGTAGTGAGGGCTGGAGGTAGTGAGGCCAAGGGCTGGAGGTATTCAAGCCTCTCACCTCACCCACCCGGTAGTGAGGGCTATAAGGGCTGGAAGTAGTGAGGGCTGGAGGTGGTGAGGGCTGGAGGTAGTGAGGGCTATAAGGGCTGGAGGTACAAGGGTTCCTTCTCACCTCACCCGGTAGTGAGGGCTATAAGGGCTGGAGGTAGTGAGGGCTGGAGGTAGTGAGGGCTATAAGGGCTGGAGGTAATAAGGGTTCTCTGACCTCACCCACCCGGTAGTGAGGGCTATAAGGGCTGGAGGTAGTGAGGGCTGGAGGTAATAAGGGCTCCTCTCACCTGAACCACCAACACACTGAGCCGCGGTGTTGTGGGTGGTGTAGCGTATCATGTAGAGTCCTCATGGCGCAGTGGAAAGCGCGCTGGACTTCTAATCCAGAGGTCGTGGGTCTGACCCCCACTGGGGATGGGAGTGAGAGGTGGTTGTCGTCCGCGTGACAACGGTTGTTGGGGCACTCCATCCTCTCAACCTACTGCTGCCACTTTTATGGCCACCTGTGGTGTAATGGTCAGCATGCTCACCTCGCAAGCTAGCGGACCCGGGTTCGATTCCCAGGCTGGATGAAACTACGGGCAAGTTTCTTGACGCCATTTGCCTCTGTCTACTCAGCAGTACTGGGGACCTGGATGTTAATCGATTTGCGGATCGTGTTCCGGGGTAATGGTT